AACAATAATTTGATTCTAAGACATGAATCTAAAGGAAGTAATCTTAAGTGCTTCATAAAGTTGTACTAACAAAAACATGGAATTAATCTAAATGTCCAAAAAGGGACTGTGTAAATAAAATGGCAATTGTCTTTTACTAATAAATCCAAATATGAAAAATATATATACAGTATTGTCTACTTTATAAAATGGGGAACTAAGATCCTGTCAATAGAAATGTAACATATAAATGGTAATCAGGAACGTCTTTTTTGCTTTCATAAGGATATATAGAAAAGATTAGAAAAATCTCTACCATTGTTAACTATTTTTAGACGGTATGGAGGCTTTTTTACTTTTCTGTCATCAACTAAGCTTATTTAAATGTTACTATAGCTGTAAGATCAGACAAACCCCGTGAGCACAGCGAGCTCTCCACACGTACTGAAGTACAAACCCATCACCTGGACCTCCACAGTTCTCTACACTGCACTTCTACTGTTTCCATTCATGTGCACACGTCTCTTTGAGGCTTACAACAGCAAGTTTCTTATGCTTTCTGAGCATGCTGCATAGCTTTTCACCTCAGTGCCTTTGCTCAGACTGTCTGACCCACCTAGATCACCTTCTCTATCTGGCCAAGTTCCACCTAAGTTCATAAGAAATACCACCTGGGTTAGTCAGCTTTCTGTCACCACAACAAATACCAGAGATCAAAAGAGTAAAGGTTTATTTTGGCTCAGAGTGTTAGAGGTTCAGTCTGTGATCAGTTGGCCCAGTTGCTGTTGAAGCTGTGGTGAGGAGGGGAATCATGCAGGTGGCATGTAGCAGGCCCACGCTGCTAACATCATGGCCAGGGAACAACAGGAAGAGGCAGGAACCATGGTTCGAGGATCATCTTTAAAGGCACCATTCCCAAAACCTCTTACTAGGTCATCAGCCCCTTTTTTGTTTGGCTTTGGTTTTGGGTTTACTTTTATCTTTTTTCTTTTTTGGTTTTATGAGACAGGGTTTCTCTGTATTGTTTTGGAGGCTGTCGGTCCAGCCCCTCCTCAAACTCGCAGAGATCCGCCTGCCTCTGCCTTCCGTGTGCTGGGATTAAAGGCGTGCACCACAACCACCCGGCAGTTTTGGGTTTTCAAGACAGGCTTCTCTGACTTAACAGCCCTGGCTGCCCTGGAAGTCACTCTGTAGGCCAGGCTGGCCTTGAACTCACAGGGAATCGCCTGCTTCTGCCTCCTGAGTGCTGGGATTAAAGGCGTGCACTGCCACTGCCTGCCTGCAACCTGCTCTTAAAGAATCTGTTATTTCCCAATAGCAGCATGTTTTAGAGCAAGGTTTTCTAAGGGTTGGGAGCTGCTGAGCCTTTTCATGACATTGACTTTAACCCAATACTTAACCCCCATCACCAAGAAGTAAGTATCTTTCTTTGTCTGAGGGAGCACTCATCAGTCTTTGAGAAAGGGTCTCATGTATAGGCTGGACTGAAAAATCACTAGGTAGTCAAGGCTAACCTTTTTTAACTTATAATCCTCCTGCTTTCACTTCCCGCTTTCTGGGATTATAGGTGTATGCCACCATGCCAACGGATTCCTTTGGTTCTTATTCCTTGTGGTCCAGTTCACCTTGTTCTAATGCTGTCACTAGATTGTACAAGTTAGGAAAATGGCTCTATCACTCACCTTTCCCTAATACTGACAACCTGACTTCCAGAATTAAGCACATAATGAGCACTTTCAGAGCTGAATAAATTATTGTCACAAAGAAAAAGAAGAAAAGAGAAGGAAATGTTTCTCATTTGAGACTCAGAGTGGAACTTTCCACAGTAACAATGACAGAGAAAAGCACCATAATTATGGACCTGTACTTTCTTCCTTTTCTGCTCAAAAACCTACCCATATTTGGTAATATTTTCTACAGGAACCAAAACTGAGCTTGGAATTCACAAGAATCTGATTTCACATGAATGTCTGAAGAGAGATACTTGGGGATAATAAATATTTTTCTGCAGGAAAAACACCATTATAGCTTGTACGCCTTAAATCTTTTATGAAAAAAAATATTAATTACAACTGAAACTGTGAAAGACAAAGGTGAAGTAGATGTTCCAAACACAAAGTTAAATTTTCATCTATTTTATCTCTCTATATGCATATGTATATAAATATATAATATTTTTGATATTTCAATACAGGGTTTCTCTGTGTAGCTCTGGCTGTTCTAGAACTCACTCCGTAGACCAGGCTGTCCTGAACTCACAGAGATCTACCTCCCTCTGTCTCCTGAGTGCTGGGATAAAGGCCTGCCCCACCAACACTGCCCGACTACTATTTATATTTTTAAAGACAGAATTTCACTTTTAGTTCATGCTTACCTGGTACTCCCTATAACAGATCGTGCCACCTTGGAATTCAAATGCCCTTCTGCCTCAACTTCCTAAGTTCTAGGATTACATACACTAAGAACCACATTGGCTTTCCCAAGGTTAATTTTCTAAAAAACAACCTTACAGGGGAGAATACAGACAAACTAAAAAGCCTTATTAGAGTTCAGGGTACACCTGTAACTTTCAGGTGAGAAAGTCTTTCGTGGTTTCTACTTTCATTGCCCATAGAGTCTATTTACAACTCTTGTGTAGATAACTCACATACCAGTTCACCTACACCTAAGTGTATATATTTAAGGTTAAAACCACACCATGACATATACAGTACCTGTCTCTGAAAAAAAATTGTCTTTATAAAGACTGCTCTTTCAGACTTTTGGTAGGAAAGGGGAACTGGTTAGGTCAGTTCTTAAATTGGAATGTCAATTTTCCCAATCATCTTCTAATGCATATCTTCAAGTAGTGCTATATTAATTCAATGATTATGTATTGAACTGCAGGAAAGGTATTGATGAGTGAGAAAAATACATGAATATTGTGCCTTCAACTTCTACAGACTGCTACTACTAACTAAACCCATCTATCATCTACTGGAGGAAATGAACAATAAAGAACAGGACAATTACAGGGTAGGAGGGAAAGTACGCTAGACAGGAAGCTACTTAATAACCAGCGAAGGTCTCTCAGATACATTTTAACCCTGAAAAGACAAAAACAAAACAACAAAATAGGCCTAACCATACACACTAACTGGTAAGAAGCATCCCAGGCTAAGAGAAATGGAAATACCCCAAGATGCAAACAGATGCATTCTGTTTGAAGAACACAAATGAAGCAGGGTAGATATATTTTTCAAACTGTGGGTCATGTTTTGGAGTGTGATGTCAATTTTGTGGGTCAATGCATTTTTAAAAAGGAAGTCCAATAGAAAATACATCAGCCACATATTTTTAGACTAAATATTCTTTAATGAACTTTTGCTTTGTGTGTGTGTGTGTGTGTGTGTGTGTGTGTGTGTGTGTGTGTGTGTATGTATGTACGTACTGGGTTGCCATCTCTATGTTTCTTAATGCAGGGAGTGGTCAAATCTGCAGTAAGCAAGAAGAGTAGTAACAAGTGAGGATGGACAGATAGCCAAGGGCTAGGCAATATATGGCCTTGCATTTGTAGGCCATCAAGAAGAACTGGAACTTTATTCTAAATACATGCAGTGGAAAGACACTGAAGGGTTTCAAGCTAGGGAGTGACATGATCTAATCTGACATTTCGATGTTGCTGAAAGATTACTATAGTGAAATGCAAAGGCCAGGCCATAACTCTTAACACCAGGGATTCCGAGCAAATTGCTTAATCTTACTACACTTCACTTCCCTCATTTTAAAAATGAGAAGACTGAATCAAGATGACCTTTAAGACTTTGGAGATTGCATAACTTATCCATCTTCTGATTGATCCTTTGAGCATAAGTAAATGACTATTATAGAATCATCAATTCTTAGTTATGAGTTACATCTTAACATACTATAAATGATTCTATTCATATAGAAGCTATTTTAGAATTATCTCCTTACTACAACCGGATATGATAATAGGCATGAGTGAGATCTCTGTGTTAAAAGTGAATGGAGTGCTTTTGCAACTCTCTAGTATAAAGTTTGGTGCGTGAAGAAAATTGGAGAGGAGGTAGAAAAAGATTTACTGACCAGGCTATTTGGAACATATTTCCTTATTTGTTCATCAACTGATGTACAATACAGAAGAGTAGAAGGGTATAGGAATCTTCTGGTAAGCACTAAAACCAAAATACAAATGTTTACTTCCTTCCACAGCAACCAAATGACTGAGGCAAAATCTATATTGACAAACTAGTAGTTTTTACTTCCACACTTGACAATCTGATATATGTTTCTTCACTTAATCCTTTAACCTTATTTACATTTCACAGATATGGAAACAGGAACTCAGAACATGTAAGTAAACTATTTACTGTAAGGGTCTAGATTAGCATCAATCAAATGCAGATGGCAACTTGAGCATTTAAAATTCTGTATAACTTACTCTAAATGTTTAGAAGTACTGATCAGATAAGTACTTGACAACTCAAGCATCTATGGCACTGAGACATTGAATGTTCAGCCAATAAATCGATTCTGCACTTACAGAAACTTTCAAGTACAGAGTGTGATAAGAACTTGTGAGTGGCACTTTTGGTTTTAAGAAGCGGAATTAAGCTAAATAAAAGGAACTGGATTGCCAAATTACTTACAAAGTATATAGCAAAAGTACAATGACAGCTTCCAGGTTCATTTTCTGGTGAAAGCCCCGCAAAGGACCATGAACTGCACAGTGTCACTTATGCCATTGACCAAGTCGTCCGCCAGGCCTATGAACACGAGATGCTCCACATTCTGATTTCTAACTTACATTAACCTTTTAAAAGAAGAAGCGAGCACACCATCTGCCCAGCTGAAGCAATGAAAACTGCATGGCAAAACCCTTGAAACACGTACAGCATTTTTCCAGTGAGGGTTGGAAAGTTCTTTAACATCTGCCAGCAAAAACACCACAAACATCCCAGCAAAAGTTGGATATGCTCACTGAACACCCAGCTTCAACCCCTAGAATACATGCTCACCTGTCACATACTCAGCTTCGAATCTCCGCCGGGTCTCAGAGATTAGCTTGGCTTTATTCTGAGCGTTATTCTGGATGGGAGACATAACAGAACCTTAGATGCTTAAGGTCTTTTTACTCAGATCACTCTCTGCACAGAGCACCTGCACCGGAGCGCAGGGGCCCTGGGCCTGGAAGACAAGCTTCCCGGTCTGGGGACCCAGAAGTGCTACTGTGCTGCTCACCTCGGCCATAGTCACAGTCGTGGACTTGATCGTAGTTGTAGCGTTCGCTCCTTCCACAGTCGGCAGCCAAGTGTCTCATCACCGGCCAGCCCAGCCCAAAGGTAGACAGAGATGGGAGGGAGGAGGAGGAGGCGGTCGCGTGACACCGGAAGGTAGAAGGAAGTGCCTCCATACTGTCCAATCCCATACTGTCGTCCGGGGTAGAGGCGGGAATAAGTGCTCTCCCTGGCTCCCACTTGCTTCTCTAAGGAGAAACCCCGCCCTCCGACGTCGTCCCTGGTACTGCTGCCCTGCCCTCAGCCATCTGGAGCATTCCCCTGCAGCACAGCCCCTGACAGCTCCGCAGGTCATTCGCTTCCAGCACTCGGAGGCTCCGCCCTCTCAGGTCTCCCCTGGCAACCGCTAGGATCAGGCTTCGCCTCCTTTTCACTCAACTATTAGGCTGGGTGTCCCAGCGTGCAATGCGCGGGCGGGAGGTTTGGAGTCATTTGGCGCTTCTGGAACATGGCGATTTGGCTGCCTTGGAGAACTGTTTGTATTCTTCTGACCCGTCGCGGATAGTGTGGATTGTGAGTGCTCCCTATATCCAGCGATTATTTCTGTTAGGACTTTTTGTTGTAGTGTCTCTCATTATAGTGCTGACGGGCCTGAAACTTGGTCTGTAGACCAGGTTGGCCTCAACTAGCAGACATGCTCCCATTGCTGTCTCTCTGATGGAGATTACAGGTATAGCCACCACTCTCGGTTGAGCAGTGTGAGCCGCATACAAGGCAAATGTCTTTGAATTGGAAGTTCAAGTGGGTATAGTAAGTTAAAAGGAGAACGGGCGGTGGTGGCGCACGCCTTTAATCCCAGCACTCGGGAGGCAGAGGCAGGCGGATCTCTGTGAGTTCAAGGCCAGCCTGGTCTACTGAGTGAGTTCCAGGACAGCCAGAGCTACACACAGAGAAACACTCTCTCCAAAAACAACTACAGCAAAAGAAAGTTAAAAGGAAAGGCGTTATATTGAGGTATTTGTTCTTAATGAGGTGGGGGTAGGGCTTTTGTTTCTGCCACGTAAGTAACATTTATGATTGTCACAGCTTGGGTGCATCTGATTTCTAATGGTTAAAAGCCAGGGATGCTGCCAAACTTGGCAAGACAACTCACAGTGCTTATCCAGGGCAAAATGCAAGTATTGCCAAGGTTGCTAAAAGTTTAGATTTATAAAGCACTGGCACAAACTTTAGCTTTGGTGGTTTAGTTGAACATAGCAATGCTGCCTTTCTTAAAAATAACAGATACTGAAGACTACTTGTAAAAATTGTTTAAAAATGTTACCCTAGGTATTGGGACTAAGATTCAGTGGCATGGTGCGTGTTGGAGGCCTGATGTTCAATCCCCAGCAGCCCTTCCCCTCCACCAAAGAGGAAACCCAACTCTCCCCTCATAAATCCCTCATCTGTAGCTGGTTCACCATAATAAGGCTCTTAGCATCTTTCCCCACATCGTGTCCTATATTTACACTTTTATGAGAAAAATTGAACACATTGTTTAAAACTTGTTTGGAAAATATTCATACAAATATTTGAATAGCTAAAAGCTCCCCTAGAGTCCACTCCCCTACTTTGGTACCCATTTTCCGTATTAAAAATTAGCCATGATGACATGCAATGCATTCCTTTTAACTGCAGTGTGATATTCCATCTGTTTATTTTCCTACTGCTAATCGTTCAAATTTGTAATTTTTATATTGCAAATAATAGTGCAGTATATATTTTAGAGTATCTTTCCATATGTGGCTCTGTTTCTCTGGGGTCAAGTCAGAAATGCAATTGCCAAAGATACACATTTCAATTTATTGCCAGATTAAATTCTACAGTCACCTCTCTCTTTCATAAATTATTAATTATCCCCTAGTCATGAACTTTGTTCCTCATTCACATATTTCAATACTGTCACTCAGGTGCAGAGGTACCATTCTGGGATTTCTGTATTTTTGAGTCATTCCATGTATTGTAGTCACTTAAAAGAGTGACTCTGTATGGATAGCCGCTGAAAAAAGAGAGAACATTTTTGTGCCTATTGAATTTAGCAGATGTTCCTTTGATTGCACCGACTTTACTCATTCTCTCACACTTAATAGGGAAATTCGTGCCATGGCAATATGATTCACAGGGTTGGCTCAAGAGGCAAAGTGACTCTAGTCTAAATCTGGCATCAATGCTGATTACTATTATAAGCTTGGATTAATGCTGAAACCTTGGGACAGTTTACCTTCATTAAAGAAGGGATCTGGATTTACACAAAGCAATGGTAAGATTGTTTATTTTGAGAGAAATGATACAGTGCATGGATTGTAATGGACAGAGATACTAAGCACAAGTGATTGATTGCAATTACTTAATTCTTCTGTACATTATAGTTAGTTGTATTCACCCTTAATCCCCCTATTTTGAATAGTAATAGTTTTCCTCAGATCATAAAAATATATTGTAAAATAAGTATTTCTGTTTTTTTCTAGAGATTTGTAAGCTTTATTTAAGAGTTTTCTTTAATTATGCATCGTGTATGAACTTTGTCTTTAGCAAGGAGGGGCCCAAGTGCCTTAGCTGTGGGAAACAATCAACATATTTAGGGAAGTCTGAGTTTCAAGACAAGTAAACCATTGATTAACTGAATGTCATTCTAAACATGCTAATATAAACCCAGATGAGATTAGTTAGATGGTCAGAAAATGATAGATGTAGAACTCATAAAAAATTTCCTGAGCCAGAAAAATATCTGAAGTCATGTTTTTAGTGCTCTCAGGGTCTCTCCAGCCCAGGCTGGCCTAGAGCTCACCATCTTCCTAGAATGCTGGCATTATAGGTACAGTCTACTACATCTAGCCTCCAGGTACTTTTAATTTAAATATGGTGTATGGTTGTGTGTGTGCGTGTGTGTGTGTGCGTGTGCGTGTGTGAGTGTGTGTGTGTATGTGCCTATGGTGTACATATGAATGTCAGAGGACAGTTTTCTGGTGTTGCTTCTTACTTTCTACGCTGCTTAGACAGAGTCTGGTTGCTGCTGCTGCTTTGCACATTCCAGGCTTAGATGGCTTGTGGACTTTCAGGAGGTTCTGCTATCTCTGCTTCCCATCTCACCAAAGGAATGCTGGGATTACAGGGCATACTACTATATCAAGCTGCTTTTTACTTCCTGAAGTCTGGTCCTCCAGTTTGTGCAGCCTTGTACAGCTAGCACCTTTACTCTCCTGATGGATGGTACTTTCAGTAGAACATCTAAATAAAGCTTGCCATGCTGATAGCACACGCAGGTGTCTTTTCTGACTTAGTTATTCACAGTTTTAGAATTGTTTAAGTAACTATGGCATTGTCACCAGGTACATGACACATTCCTATAATCCCAGAACTTCAGAGACAGAGGCAGAGGGATTATTAGGACGGCAAAGGTCTATTATATAGCAAGGCCTTCTCCATGAAATGTTGTCACAGTTGTATAAAATTTTTTAATATGTTTACTTAAAATGAAATGTGTGTGATCATTTTCTAACAAAATAGGTTTTCTGCTCTGCCTGTTCCATTTAGTCTTTCTTTCTTCCTTTTTCCCCCTTAGGATTAAAGACCTCAACTGTAATCCATTTGCATTTGGAACTGGATCAACTCAGAGACCTGATATATTAGTATGGCTGGCAACCAAGCAATACCATTTAATGAGCAAGCAAAATGCTTATGTTATAATGGGGAAATCCTTGTTTTTCATTTGTCCAAAGGAGATTTTGAAATGTGTACAGATACCTCTGTATTGTATGTCAAAAGGATGGTATTTGACAGAGAAACAGGAACATTTGTTTTGCTATCCAAGGGATTTTTAAACATTAAGGAGAAAGCTTCTCATTTAAAAATTTTGTGCTGTAAATGTGTGTCAGATTTCAGAACTAGAATTAACCTCCCTTGCATTTTGATACAAAATACAAAATATAATAATAAAGCTTTCAATTACTATATACTGTTTCTTCACAATCCGAACAAGTTTGAAAAGTATTTGAGTTTTAAACTCAACTATGAATTGGATGAGAGCTTAAAGATCTTTGATGGCCCTATGGTTTTTTGGCAACATCTCAACAAATTCTTCTATATCTCTTCCCAATTTGGGAAAGTTACTAATATATCAGTTAATCTTTCCTCCATTGAGTGGGTAGGTGAGGTAGAAAATTTTGGTTTAGTATTTTTGGGGTTACCAGAACCCCCTGAGGCTAAATGTACTCATAAGCTTTCAGAATCAGATTATGAATTTTCCAATTCCAACCTTTGTGTATATGCTCTTACAACTCAAGAAATATTAAGCAATAATTATCTTATTCCTCTTGCTTACAGTAGTGTAGTAACTCATGTGCATGTCTATGCAGCTGAGATGGTTGACAACAAGTTAAGAATGTCTCTGATTGTCCTTACACGAAAGAATCAGCTCGTCTTGTTCCAAGATGGCATTCCTGTAAGGGTATGCCAGCTTCCATTTCTAGATCCATGTTCAGTTCAGATTCTAGATTCAGGTAAAAGAAACCGATATTTCATCGTGTCATTCAACTCCAAGGCTTGTGCTGTTTCAGAAAAGACATTTAAGGTACCACGCTTCATCTCATTCTCATAGTAATTCAGTTGCTGCTCTTGGGCTTTTCTTTTTCTGTGTTTTGCTTTGTTTTGGTTTTTGAAACAAGGCTGGATCTTTATATGTAGTTCAGATGGCTTTAAATTTTCCAACCTTCTGTCCTGTGTCCTATGATTATAGCCTTGTGCTAGCATCGTGTCCAGCTATTTTTAGACTTTCTAAGCATTCCTATTTTATCAGTCAGGTTTTAGCATTAATGTTTTAGATGTTTCATTGTATGTTTGTTTTTTTGTTTTTATTTTGGTTTTTCTTTCTTGAAGGTATCTGAATTCTACCTGATAATGGTTTGGAGCCTTGGTGTTTGAAGTCATAAAACTTTTGAGTTTGTATTAATGCAATCATATTGGAGTACCTAACTTACAAGAAGTACAGTGATTATATTTGAACAAGTATACTTAGCAGTTAAGACAAACCAGTAAACATAGTAGGAATTAAAATGGAATGAAACATTTTCTAATATTGAATACTATTGATGAACTTCAGTGAGAAGTTTTAGATAATAGA